TTCACTTCCCTCCCCATGCATCTACTGATCTGCTTTTTGTCACTTTAGTTTGAATTTTTAGAATGTTAAAAATGGAAACGTATGGTATGTACGCTTTTTGGTCTGGCTTCTTTCAGCATAATTATTTTAATATTTGTTCTTGTTGTATGTTTTAATAGTTAATTTTTTGGCTAATTACAATTCTGTGTATAGATATACTATAATTTGCTTATCCATTCAACAACTAATGGACATTCAGGTGGTTTTTAGTTTTGTGGTATTACAAATAAAGCTGCTATTAATATTGTACAGATCTTACAAGATACATGTTTGTTTCTTTGAGATGGAGTTTCACTCTGTTGCCAGGCTGGAGTGTAGTGGCGTGATCTCAGCTCACTGCAACCTCCACCTCCCGGGTTCAAGGGATTCTCCTGCCTCAACCTCCTGAGTAGCTGGGGTTACAGACACACACCACCACACCCAGTTAATTTTTGTATTTTTCAGTAGAGCCGGGGTTTCACCATGCTGGCCAGGATGGTCTCGATCTCCTGACCCCGTGATCTGCCACCTTGCCCTCTCAAAGTGCTGGAATTACAGGCATGAGCCACTGCACCTGGCCCATATGTTTTTATTTCTCTTGCATGAATACCAAGGAGTGGAATGGTTGGGCCACATCATAGGTGTGACTCACCATGGTAGATGTATGCTTAATTTATTTATTTAATTTATTTTTTAGATGGTGTCTCGCTCTGTCACCTAGGCTGGAGTGCAGTGGTGTGCTATCAGCTCACTGCAGCCTCTGCCTCCAGGATTCAAACGATTCTCCTGCCTCAGCCTCCTGAGTAGCTGGGATTACAGATGCCCACCACTATGCCCAGCTAACTTTTGTATTTTTTTTTTTTTTTTGAGATGGAGCTTCACTCTTGTTACCCAGGCTGGAGTGCAATCCTGCGATCTTGGCTCACCACAATCTCCACCTCCTGGGTTCAGGCAATTCTCCTGCCACAGCCTCCTGAGTAGCTGGGATTACAGGCACACACCACCATGCCCAGCTAATTTTTTTTGTATTTTTAGTAGAGACGGGGTTTTACCATGTTGACCAGGATGGTCTTGATCTCTTGACCTTGTGATCCACCCCCGCCTCGGCCTCCCAAAGTGCTGGGATTACAGGCTTGAGCCACCGCGCCCGGCCAACTTTTGTATTTTTAGTAGAGAAGAGGTTTTACCATGTTGGCCAGGCTGGTCTCGAACTCCTGACCTCAGGTGATCTACCTGCCTCTGCTTCCCAAAGTGCTAGGATTAAAGGTGTGAGCTACTGTGCCCAGCCATGAATGCTTAATTTTTTAAGACACTGCTGGCCGGGCGCAGTGGCTCATGCCTGTAATCCCAGCACTTTGGGAGGCCGAGGCGGGTGGATCACGAGGTCAAGAGATTGAGACTATCCTGGTCAACATGGTGAAGCCCCGTCTCTACTAAAAATACAGAAAATTAGCTGGGCATCGTGGCCCATGCCTGTAATTCCAGCTACTCAGGAGGCTGAGGCAGGAAAATTGGCTGAACCCAGCGGGTGGAGGTTGCGGTGAGCCGAGATTGTGCCATTGCACTCCAACCTGGGTAACAAGCGAAACTCTGAGTCCAAAAAAAAAAAAAAAAAAAAAAAAAAAAAAAAGGCACTGCCAAATGCCAAACTATTATTTTACCAAGCGGTCGTACCATTTTAACATTTCTACTAGCAGCACACCAGAGTTTCTGTTCCTCTACATTCTCTCTAAGACTTGGTACAGTCAGTCTTTTTAATTTTAGCCATTTTAATGGGGATGTAGTGGTAATACTCATCACAGTTTTAATGTACATTTCCTTAATGACTAAGTAAGTCGGATGTCTTTTTATGTGCATATTTGTCATTTGTTTATTTTTGGTGAAGTGTTTATTAAGATCTCCCTACCTTTTTTTATTGGCTTGTTTTCTTGTTACTGACTTTTGTGAGACTTTGTATTCTGGAGGCAGTTCCTTTATCAGATACACATTTGCAGATATTTATCTCACTCTGTGGCTTACATTTTCATTCTTTTGCCCGGGGTGGTGGCTCACGCCTGTAATCCCAGCACTTTGGGAGGCTGAGGCAGGCGGATCACGAGGTCAAGAGATTGAGACCATCCTGGCCAACATGGTGAAACCCCGTCTACTAAAAATACAAAAAAAAAATTAGCTGGACGTGGTAGCACGCGCCTGTAGTCCCAGCTACTCGGGAAGCTGAGGCAGAAGAATTGCTTGAACCTGGGAAGCGGAGGTTGCAGGGAGCCGAGGTCGTGCCACTGCACTCCAGCCTGGTGCCTGGTGATGGAGTGAGACTCTATCTCAAAAAATAAAATAAAATAATTTTTTTTTTCATTCTTTTAATCTTTTTAAGAGCAGACGTTCTTTATGAAATTCAGTTTATGAAATTTTTTTTGTTTTCCCTTACAAGGTTTTAAAATTATAATTCAGGAGGATACAATCATGCAGCACAGGCCGATTAGCCAAATCTAAAATAAACTGGCTTCTTATCACAACTAACTTGTGAGCATCACAGCCCTTCTTCTTTCTAAAATGACCATAAAGAAAAATTACTGTGGCGAAACAGAAACCTAGATTTGAGGTAAAACGTAAAAACCAAAGGAAAAATAGCAATTCAGTGGTTTGTTGATGAAAGCAGGAAAGTTGGTGCCCTTCACTGGGCTGCTTTGCTCTTCTTACGCTAGCTTTTATTTATTTATTTATTTATTTATTATTTTTTTAAAGATGGAGTCTCGCGTGTTGCCAGGGCTGGAGTGCAGTGGCATGATCTCAGCTCACTACAATCTCTGCCTCCTGGGTTCAAGCGATTCTCCTGCCTCAGTCTCTGCAATAGCTTTTATTATAGGCTCACACTACCGTACCTGGCCAATTTTTGTATTTTTAGTAGAGATGAGGTTTCACCATGTTGACCAGGCTGGTCTCAAACTCCTAAGCTCAGGTGTTTGAGCTCCCGAAGTACTGGGATTACAGGTGAGCCACAATGCCTGGCGTTACTCTTGCTCTTTTTTTCCCTCCTCTTTAGCCGATCCATGTTAGACTTCAGTAGGTTTGAACAAATCATCTATTCATTTCTTTGGAGCTTACCACAGTGCTGATTGTTCCTTGTTCATGTATAGAAATCCTATGAAATTTTTGTGTTTATTTTGTATCCTGCCACCTTACCTAAACTTTTTTTGAGACAGCCTTTATCTGTTCCTGGGGCTGGAGTTCAGTGGCTTACTGGAGCCTTGACTACCCAGGCTCAAGCTATCCTCCTACCTCAGCCTCCTGATTAGCGGGGACTAGAGGTACATACCACTATGCTCAACTAATTTTTTCTTGTAATTTTTTTGTAGAGTTAGGGTTTTGCATGTTTCCTAGGCCTGTCTTGAACTCCTGGGTTTAAGCCATTTGCCCACCCTTGCCCTCCCAAAGTGCTGGGATTACAGGTATGAGCCACCATGCCTGGCCACTTTAATTTTTATTTCTTTGCTGTTGATTTCTGGTTTCATTTCATTGTGGTCTGAGAGAGCAAGGCACCATATGATTTCTATTCTTTAAAATTTGTTAAGGTGTGTTTTATGGTCTAGAATGTGGTCCATCTGGTCTTGGTTACTGGTTTGGTTACTGCCGTTTATTCAAGGGGAAGTTTTTGGACATTGGGTTTAATTGGCTCTTCTTTTTCTATTATTCTGAAGATTAAGGCTGGGCATGGTGGCTCACGTCTGTAATCCCAGTGATTTGGGAGGCTGAGGCCGGTGGATCACTTGAGATTAGGAGTTCCAGACGAGCCTGGCTGACATGAAGAAACACTGTCTCTATTAAAAATACAAAAATTAGCCAGGCATGGTGGCACGGGCCCATAGTCCCAGCAACTCGGGAGGCGGAGGTTGCAGTCACCTGAGATCTTATCACTGCACTCCAGTGTGGGTGACAGAGCGAGACTGTCTGAAAGAAAAAAAAAAACAAAAGCCAGGCACAGTGGATCACCTGAGTTCAGGAATTTGAGACCAGCCTGGCCAACATGGCAAAACCCTGTATCTATTAGTAGCCAGGTGTAGTGGTGGGTGCCTGTAATCCCAGTTACTCTGGAGGCTGTGGCAGGAAAATTGCTTAAACCCAGGAGGTGGAGGTTGCAGTGAGCCGAGATCACGCCATTGCACTCCAACTTGGGTGACCAGAGCAAAACTCTATCTCAAAAAAAAAAAAAAAAAAAAAGATTATTGTTCTTCATTCTTTCTTTTCTAATATACACAGTCAGCACTACAAATTCCCCTTTACGTGCTACTTTTCTAGCATCTCACAAATTTTTATAAGTTGTATTTTTATTTTCATTTAGTTCAAAATATTTTAAAATTTCTCTTTATATTTCTTTTTTTACTTATATGTTGTTTGGAAGTGTGTTATTTAATCTCCATGTATTTGGAGATTTTGTGGCCACCTTTCTGGTATTGACTTCTGATTTTATTTCATTGTGGTCTGAGAGAGCAAGGCACTATATGATTTCGATTCTTTAAAATTTGTTAAGGTGTGTTTTATGGTCTAGAATGTGGTCCATCCTGGTTAATGTTCCATGTAAGCTTGAGAATAGAAGAATGTGTCATCTGCTGTTGTTGGACAAAGTAGTCTACTGAGGTCAGTAATATACAGTTGATTGATAGCACTGTTCAGCTCAACTGTGTCCTTAACTGATTTTTTTTCCCCTGATATATCTGTTAACTTTTTGGCTGTAGTATCTATTAATTTCTGTCAGTTTTTGCTTCATATATTTTGACCTCTTTGGTTAGTCACATAATTAAAGATTGTTTATTTCTTATTGAAGTATTAACACCTTTATCTTATGTAATTACTCTCTTTAGTTCTAGTAAGTTTCTTTACTCCGAGTCTGTTCTGTTCATAATTTAGTATTTCTGCTTTTTAAATATTAGTGTTAGTATGGTATATCTTTCTCCATTTGTTTCCTTTAGTTTTATTTATTCATTTATTTTTATATGGAACACTTCATGAATTTGCATGTCACCCTTGCACAGGGGCCATGCTAATCTTCTCTGTTTCATTCTAATTTTTGTATATGTGCTGCCAAAGTGAGCACTATTTCCTTTAAACTCTACATGTCTTTATAACTACAGTAGGTTTCTTACATTTCTTACAGACAACACATAGTTGCTGCTTGGTTTTTGATCTGTGAGAATCTTTATTTTTTAATTGGGGCATTTAGACCATTGCCATATAATTGGGTTTATATCTACCATATTTATTCCTGTTTTTCTTTTTTTAATTTTTGTTACTGTTTTTGTCATTCATAGCTTTTGTGGTTTTAATTCAGCATTTTACATCATTGCATTTCCTTGTCTTTTTTTCTTTTTTTTTACCCTTTTGTTACGCTTTAAGTGTTTCATTTTACTCTCTCTTTGACTGCATGTTTTCTGAGGTAAATTCAGATATAATTCTTATACTTGTGCCTGTGTGAGTAAGGTGTTTTCCTCGAGTTTCCTTCTTGGATTTTAATCTTTGAGCATAGAGGTGTACTCCTCTTTCCCCCTTCTTTTTCACATTTATTTTGCTTGACGTTCTCTGTTTCTTTGTTAGCTGGTTTGGTTACTGCCATTTATTTGAGAGGAAGTTTTTGGACATTATTTCGAATATTGCTTCTGCTTCTTTCTTCTCCTCATTGTATTCCCATTTTAACCATGTTACGCCTTTTATATATGGCCCAGCATTCATGGATATTTTGTGTGCTTTTGTTTTCCAGTCTTTTTTCTCTTTCCTTTTCAGTTTTGAAAGTTTCTGTTGTCATATCTTCAAGCTTAGAGATTTTTTCTTAAGCAGTGTCCCAGTCTACTGATGATTCCATCAAAGACATTCTTCATTTCTGTTTGTTTTTGATCTCTCTGGCATTTCTGATTTGCTTTCATTATGTGTATGTTCTTACATGTTGTCTGCCTTTTCCATTAAATCCCTTATATTGATCATAGATTTTAAAAATTCTTGCTCTCATAATTCCAACATTCCTGCCATGTCTGAGTTAGTTTCTGATGGTTTTTCACTTTGTTTAAACTGCCTTTTTTGCCTTTTTTGTTGTTTTTGACATTATGTCCTGGAAAAAGGAACTATAGTATAAATAGGCCTTTAGTAATAATGTACTAGTGAATTGTGGGGAAGAGGAGGCATCCTGTACTTCTATAATTAGGTTTCAGTCTTTAGGTGAACCTGTACACCTGGAATGTGAACTGCATAGGGCTAATTCTTAGTTATTTTCTTCTCCTGCAGGTGGGACAGAATGGTTAGAGTGGCCCGAGGTTGTATATTTCTCTTCCCTAGGTCAGTTAGGCTCTGACAAAAACCCCTACGGGTTAGAACCTGGTTAGTTTCTTCTGAAAGCAGGCCTTGTTAGGAAAAGGAAAGCTCTGGTTATTTCAAAATGGTACCTTTTTTCCCTCTTTATTGGAGAGATCTCTGGGGTACTCTTTCTCCATTATTCACTCTGAGGGCCTTTGCCTTTCTGGTTTGTTTTTGTTGTTGTTGTTGAGATGGAGTTTCACTCTCCTTGCCCAGGCTGGAGTGCAGTGGTACGATCTTGGCTCACTGCAACCTCCCCCTCCCAGGTTCAAGCGATCTCCTGTTTCAACCTCCCAAGTAGCTGGGATTACAGGCAAGTGCCACCACACCCAGCTAATTTTTGTATTTTTAGTAGAGACAGGGTTTCACCATGTTAGTCAGGCTGGTCTCGAACTCCTGACCTCAGATGGTCCACCTGCCTCAACCTCCCAAAGTGCTGGGATTACAGGTGTGACCCCCAATTTTTTGTTTAGCATTTTACCCTTTGACCTCTAAATTCACTGATACAAGAGTTGGTGATTTTCAGTTTGTTGAGCTTTGTATTTGTTTTAGGGCTGAGCAGAGACTTCTCTCTGCTCCTTATATGCCCAACGAGAAACCAGATTTCCTAATATAGGCATTTAATGATATAACTTCCCTCTCAAGTGCTGCTTTATGAATTTTGATATGTTTTCATTTTTATTTAGTTTAAAAAATACTTTGTGGTTTTTCTAGAAGTTTATTGATATTCTTTTGATGCAGAACATGGATTATCTTGTTAAATATTCTGTGTGTTTTTTAAAAGAATGAATGTGTATTGATTTGCAGTTGTGTGGAGTTTTTCAGCAAATGTCCATTAGGTCAAGTTTATTTATATTTTTTAAGTTGTCTATATCCTTACTCATTTTTTGTCTGTTTGTTCTGTCAGTTATTGTGAGTGGTGCGTATTAGGTACAGAAACAATTAGGATTTTTGTGTCTTCTTGATGAGTAAGCCACTGTATTTTGTTAATATTTTTTGTTGTGAAACCTGCTGGCTGATATTAATATAGTGAATTTAGCTTTCTTTTGATTAGCTTTAGCTTAATGTTTCTTTTCCCATGCTTATACTTTCTTTGTGCCTTTATATTTAAAGTAAGTTTCTTTTTTCTTTTCTTTTCTTTATTTTTTTTTGTTGTTGAGATAGAGTCTCGCTCTGTCACCCACGACGGAGTGCAGTGGCATGATCTCAGCTCACAGCAACCTCTGCCCTCCCGGGTTCAAGTGATTCTCCTGCCTAAGACTCCCAAGTAGCTGGGATTACAGGTGTGCGCTATCATGCCTGGCTAAGTTTTGTCTTTTTAGTAGAAATGGAGTTTCACCTCTCAGGCTTGTCCACAATGTGTTGTCAGCAATTTATTGATTAACATATTTTAGGTTTTCTTGATAAACTATTTTATCTTGAACTCTAGCCTCAAGTGATCCACCTATCTCAGCCTCCCAGAGTGCTGGGATTACAGGTGTGAGCCACCACGCCCAGACTAAAATTAATCTAACTTAAAATAGATTTCTTTAAGGCAGCATATAGTCAGGTCTTGAGTTTATTAATTCATTGTTGCAACCTTTCCTTATTAACTGTAGTGTTTAGAGAATTTACATATGATTCTCTGTGTGGTTGTATTTTATTATTATTATTTTTTTGAGACAAGGTCTCACTCTGTCTTCAAGGCTGGAGTGCAGTGGCTCTATCTCAGCTTATGGGAAACTGCACCACTTGGGTTCAAGCGATTCTCCTACCTCAGTCTTCTGAGTAGCTGGGACTACAGGCATGTGCCAACACACCTGGTTTTTAATGATAAGCAACTTGATATTGAACTGAGTTCATTTACATTTCTTCCTATTTCTTTTTCTTGGGGTTCCTTGAGGTTTTTAAACTATGAGTTTTTTTTTCTCATTAATTTAACAATTTTTTCTACTATTTTTTCTTCAGTTTTGTGGGGATTTTTTGTTTGTTTGGTTTGATCATCCCTTTCTTTTTCAGTATTCTAGTAGCATCTAAATGAGGCTAAAGTCATTCTACAGCTCACTGTTTTTTTTGATGGGTTCATTCTTTAGGTGATTTTTTTTGGGCAGATTACATGCTATATTCTCAAGGTTGGCTTGGTAAAAAATATGTGGTTTTTATGAGACACTTGAGTAGTACATAATTTTATTTTGAAATTTTAACTAACACATTATGTTTTCTCATGGTTGAAGGCATAGATAGCTCTTGGCTGCTTTCTTCCTTCTGCCTCCTGGTTACCTATGTAGATGACAGAACCTGATAGACTAATCTGAAACAACCATACCTTTTGTAAATAATCATAGCTGCTTTTTCTTTGGATACTTGTTATAGAGTCATTATTTAATTTTAGATCTAGTTTTACATTTTTGTTTGAAGTAAATATTTTTTGTTCCAACTTAATGGTATTGAGTAGGTATATTGGTGTTGCAGCTTATCTTAGGACTAATAGTTGCCCATGAAATAAAAATGGCATGTATTCTGAATTGCCCTTTTAAAAGATTAATTGGCCTGTAAATCACAACGTAGAACAAAGTATTTATGCAGCACTTCAGAGACTGTTAATACAGCCAAATATCCAGTTTTATCTTCAGTAGAAAAGAACCAAAAAATAAAAAGACCATATATTTTTCAGTAGGGCACCAAATGAAGTAGCGTGCATTTTGTGGTCCAATTTGCATCAAAAATAAGTATTTTTAAGTACAAAAATTACACTCAGAGCAATGAGATGTTTATACTATGAGAGATATGTAGAATACGAAAGTGGAGAAACAAGATTTTGTGAATTTAGTCTTGGGCTTATTTACTGTGTGTTTTTCAGCCATCTCCCGCCCTCCTCTGAGAAAGGACCTTTCTCTTCCTCGATTTTGAGTTAATCATTGTTATGTTTATAATGGAATTCCCTAGTGCCATATTGTCCCAACAGTACATTATAGGACAAATACTTTTAAAATCACTTTTAAACATGTAATTAAAATAGAGGTTCCTCTTTGAATGAACCCTGCATTGCCTTAGTGTCATTATGTATACTTTAAAAATTGTTAACATTCTGTCATCCCATTTCAAATTGAGCCATTGAAAAAAAATGTTAACATTTAAAGCTAAAATTTATTCTTTTTCATATTAAGTCTGATTATGTTCTGAATTATAGGTGTGGACATTTAAAAAACGTTCATTTATGGTTTCAGTATGATTTTTTGTCACTGAATTTGATTGTTTTATTAATTGCTTTCTTTGTAATACTATTTCTTCCAAATGTCATGTTTTCATTGTTTTTATAGACAGATTTATACTTGAGGGTGTGAGCAAAGATGTTCTGTTAAATAAGTGGGAAAAATGATCGTCTCTAATGTAGATTGTCATGCAGAAGTGAATAGTGTATTTCCATTTGTAGTACTCCACCCAATTTTCTCTCCATTCTTTATTTGATACATGAACAAAAATATGTGAGTAAAGAACACCACTGTGTTTCTTAGATGACTTTTAAACTTCACTAGGTCATGCAAGGATCACATGTGAGAGGAATGGAGAACCTCAGGATCAACTCAAGTAATTGGAAAAAAGTATTTGAAAAATGAGGTGGGGTAGTTTCCAAATTGACCTGCCCAGCATGGAAAAGGTTCATGTTTCTAAAGTAAGCCATGAAGTTTCATCAGCTTAAATGTGATTGGTTTGTAAAATGGGATTTTTTTTTTCTTTTAAACTTCCTTTGAAACTTTTGTTCTTGTTTGTGGATTGTAGTTTGTTAGAATAGTAATTATTTTGTTTTTATGGAATATTTCTTCTATTTGATGATAAATATTCATGATTGGCACTGAGGTGATAGGGGTTGGGGATGGCAACAGGGTGACAGAAAAGCAGCACAAAAGATTAGGTTTCCAAGCAATTTCTTCTCTGATTCCTCTTTTTGAAGCTGATTTTGCTAAAAATGCCAGCCATTTTGAAACTTGATTTTATTGCCATGTTCTTGTTTTTCATATTCATCTGGTTGTTTGTAATCAGTGGCGACTGTATGTGAGAAAATTCACGTTTGCTTATTTTCAGTTTTATTTTTATAGCAGATATTTTAGATAGATACAATAAAAAAGTATTCACTTATCCAACAAAAATTTAGTGCTGATTATGTTGCAAGCACTTACTGAAGTTTATGCTGTACATGCCTCAGATGCTTTAGTGAACTTAATGGCGACATCAAAACCTTTGCCCTTGTGTACTTTATAAACTTTTGATTTCAAAGCATGGTGATTAATGTGCATCTGGTATAATATGCTTTTCATATAGTCATTTTATTCGCCATTATTTGGGTATACCTTGTATTAAAAGTGATTGCTAAAACTGGAAACTATTTATACAAATCTTCATCTTTTTTTCTTAACATAATGCAGATCAAGGGAATGATAGAGAACCACTTTTAGGGGTAGTTATAAAATCTTACCTTTGTGATATATAACTTTTTCCTCAACATAACAATTGCAAAAATGATTTCTGTTTCAAAGGCTTTAATCTTTCTATTTTTTGCCAAGCAGCCTTCACTCGAATTCTTTAAAAATTCTTGCTCTGTCCTCCGCTAGCCTTATAAACTCATGGATATGGTGGTCCTCTAATGGATTTGTAGCACCTTAGTTCCCTTATCGTCATCTTCCTATATTGAACACTAAAGCTATTTTAATTTCATGTCTAGGAAGCATAGACATTGTTAAAAAAAAATGATGTTGCTTGACAAATGAGTATCTTCAGTATTGCTGTGTATCATTTAATAAATGAGTAATACATACTTTTACTAGTTGTTCCAGTTCGATCCAGAAACAGCTATCTTTAAATTATCTATACTTGTCTTTTTTGTTTTTTAAATAATTGTAATAGACAAATTGTTTTTACATGATTTTCTTAGGTGGACTAACTTATTTTTAGAACAAAATCTTTATGTTTATTCTGCAAGTTCTTATTTATTTTTATTAATGTGTCAGTTATTGTTTTCTGTAGCTAAAATGTAATCAACTCTTTTTCCTTCCTTTTTTGAATCAAAATGTTAGACTTATACAAGCACTAGCAACAACTCTATATCTGGATCATTGAAGCGCTTGGAAGATACTACAGCACGATTTACAAATGCGAATTTCCAGGAAGTCTCTGCACATACCTCTAGTGGAAAAGATGTTTCAGAGACTAGAGGGTCAGAGGGCAAAGGGAAGAAGTCTTCAGCTCACAGTTCAGGTCAAAGGGGAAGAAAGCCTGGTGGTGGAAGAAATCCAGGAACAACTGTGTCAGCAGCTAGCCCTTTTCCACAAGGTATTAGTGATGTTTTAGCTAAAATACTTGTCCTTATGATGGTTAATATTAGTTTTGCTTTGTAAAATAATTTTTTTAACTTATAACTAATGGATGTTCTAGATTATTATGTGATTAGTTTGCTAGAGTAAGATTACTTCAAAGATAGTATTTCCTCTTAAATTTTTCTGGGACTTTTGCTTTCATTTTATAATACGATATGTGCATCCAGAGTTGAATTATAATTATGATGTTTAACTAGACTTAGAATAATGCTTAAAATTGGGGAGAAAAATAATAAAAGCTGGAGCTTTGCTTTCAGTTCTATAGGACAGTCATTCTTTTTTTTTTTTTTTTTTTTTTTAAGTCGGAGTCTCATTCTGTTGCCCAGGCTGGAGTGCAGTGGTGCAATCTTGGCTCACTGCAACCTCTGCCTCTTGGGTTCAAGTGATTCTTGTGCCCCAACCTCCTGAGTAGCTGAGATTACAGATGTGTGCCACCATGCCTGGCCAATTTTTGTATTTTTAGTAGAGATGGAATTTCACCATGTTGGCCAGGCTGGTCTCAAACTCCTGACCCTAGGTCATCTGCCCGCTTTGGCCTCCTAAAGTGCTGGGAATAGAGGCACAAGCCATTGTGTCTGTCATCTTTCCTATAAATGTTTTTTGTTTATATTTTTTAAACATTAAAAACAATTAAGGTTGACTGGGCATGGTGGCTCACATGTGTAATCCTAGCAGTTTGTAATGCTAAAACGGGCAGAACTTTGTGTCCAGCTTGGGCAACACGGTGAGACTCCATCTCTGCAAAAAAATTAAAAATTAGCTGGATGTGGACTGGGTACAGTGGCACATGCTTATAATCCCAGTCTTTTGCCGGGCGCGGTGGCTCAAGCCTGTAATCCCAGCACTTTGGGAGGCTGAGGCAGGTGGATCACGAGGTCAAGAGATCGAGACCATCCTGGTCAACATGGTGAAACCCTGTCTCTACTAAAAATGCAAAAAAAAAATTAGCTGGGCACGGTGGCGTGTGCCTGTAATCCCAGCTACTCAGGAGGCTAAGGCAGGAGAATTGCCTGAACCCAGGAGGTGGAGGTTGTGGTGAGCCGAGATGGTGCCATTGCACTCCAGCCTGGGTAACAAGAGCGAAACTCTGTCTCAAAAAAAAAAAAAAAAAAAAAATCCCAGTATTTTATGAAGCCCGGGCAGGTGGATCGTCTGTGCTCAGGAGTTGGAGACCAGCCTGGGCAAAATGGCAAAATCTTGTTTCTATAAAATATACAAAATTAGCCAGGTATGGTGGCACGCACCTGTCATCCCAGCTACTTGAGAGGCCGAAGGGGGAGGATTGTTTGAGCCCAGGAGATTGAGACTACAGTGAGCTGAGATTGTGCTACTGCACTCCAGCTGGGTGATTGAGTGAGACCTTGTCTCTTGGGCAGGCAAACAAAATTAGCCAGGCATGATGGTGTACACCTGTGGCCCCAGCTCCTCAGGAGGCTCAAGTGGGAGGATTGCTTGACCCAGGGAGGTTGAAGCTGCAGTGAGCCATGATTGTGTCACTGCACTCCAACCTAGGTAATGGAACAAGAGCCTGCCTCAAAACAAACAAAAAACACCCTAAATAAATAAATACAATTAAGGTTTACATTTTTTAGTAGATAAATAAATACAGACAATTTTTAGGGGATTTATATAGGTCTCAGTAAATAATAGTTAATTAATAACAAATGTATTATAAGTCTGAAATTTAACAGGTTGATAGACTAACCCATTCTTGGTTTTCAGCTTTGTGTGTGTGTGTGTGTGTGTGTGTGTGTGTGTGTGTGTGTTTTGAGACAGGGTTTTGCTCTGTTGCCCAGGCTGCAGGGCAGTCCTGCAATCGTGGCTCACTGTAAGGTTGACCTCCAGCATGCACGCACGCGTGTGTGTGTGTGTGTGTGTGTGTGTGTTTTGAGACAGGATCTTGCTCTGTTGCCCAGGCTTCAGGGCAGTCCTGTCATCATTGCTCACTGCAAGGTTGACCTCCTATGCTCAAGCATTCTTTCTCCCGCTTCAGACCCTCAGGTAGCTTTTGCCTCCACCTTTATCTCCTAAGTAGCTGGGACCACAAGCATGCATCACTATGCCCAGCTCATTTTTAACTTTTTGTAGAGATGGGTTCTTGCCTTGTTGCCTAGGCTGGTATTGAACTCCTGGGCTCAAGTGACCCTCCTGCCTTGGCCTGCCAAAGTTCTGGGATTACAGGCGTGAGTCACCACACTGAGTGAACTACTTCATAATTTTTAAAGTGAACATAAATATTTTGAGAAATAGAAATGTTAAAACTCTTGGAGGAAAATATATCGATAAAATATACAATAAATGCCCTCCTCCCACTCCCCTTTAACCCCTTAGGAGTAAATGAAAAAAGAAAATTATCCTTTTCTTTTTCCACTTTCATAAGAATATTAGCAGAATTTATCAGGATATAATTTGAATATGTAGGGGATTGCTAAATCTGCTAACTTAATAATAGCATTTTGAGCTTGAAGATTTTTCAATTCCCAGATTTGTGTGTGTGTGTGTGTGTGCACTTTATATAACAAGATTAGACAAGTAGAAATAAAATGCCAAATAATATGTAGTATTTTAGTAAAGTTTGTTGTTCTTATATATTTAAAAAATAAATAGCAAAACCTTAACCTTTGCTGTAACTTTGATTTATATTTTGAATGTGATATTAACAGTATTTATTTAATGCTTCTATAATTAAGACCTTAGTTTCTACTATTAGAATTGCATTTTAGAGTTTTTAATTTGTCTTAGAAGTACTACTCCATTTAGAAAAGAAATTTTCCATTTTCTTGAACTTTACAACACTCAAAAATCTTTTTCAGCTCTCTACTGAGACATGGTGGAGTAGTATGTGTTATGTTTTCATATCTGATGTAATACTCCATAAAAGTCTTAAAAGTTGAAATTTAAAGATAGGGTACATAAGACAATTAGTTATAATTTTTTTCATAGCAGGTATGATGTTAATTTTAGAAAATAAATATTTTTTTTCCTTGAGACAGAATCTTGCTCTCTTGCCCAGGCTGGAGTGCAGTGGCACAATCTCAGCTCACTGCAACCTCCACCACGTGGGTTCAAGCAGTTCTCCTGCCTCAGCCTCCTGAGTAGCTGGGATTACAGGCATGCAACACCACACCCAACTAATTATTTATTTATTTTTTTTGAGACAGAGTCTTGCACTGTCGCCTAGTCTGTAGTGCAGTGGTGCAATCTCACCTCACTGCAATCTCTGGCTCTTGAGTTTAAGCAATTCCCACGGGGAGCTGGGTGGTCAGACATGGTGGTGCGTACCTGTAATTTCAGCTGCTTGGGAGGTTGAGGAAGCAGAACTGCTTGAACCCAGAAGGTGGAGGTTGTAGTGAGCCAAGATGGTGCCACTGCCCTCCAGCTTGGGCGACAGTGTAAAACTTGGTCTCAAAAAACAAACAAACAAACAAAACAGTATTGCATATGTTAAATATTTTCAAGTATCTGCTACACTGTAGTGAGGTTTTAAAAACAGCTGTAAAAACAAAAATGTGTGGAACAGAGACAGATGGTAACAAATCAGAATGAATAATAATGAACTTCTATATAATTACTCATTACATGGTAATTTGTAGTTATCTTTAAATGATTAATGAAATGTACATGCTTCTTAATATGTATGTTTTAAATATAGACATAGCCTTAAAATTCCCACACAGGTATAAATAATTTTGTAAATTATTAAAATAGATGTAGTCTTAAAAGAGTTTTAGAACTACTAAATATTCTTTTTAAATAAGCTGTTTCAGAAAGGATTACAATTTAAAAAATCAAAACCTTGGGACTTGAGCTAAAAATTTTTTTCTTGTATGCAAGGATATAAATCTCTGCAAATATTTAGTTGGGTTTATGTGTGATTACTTGTGAATGTGCTATGCAATGAAATTTAACACTTAGCTTGAAATTTCCTTTCCACTCCAATAAAATACTTTGGATTTTGTTTCCAAAAAAATTAAAATATGATGTAGTTTGGTTTTATGAAGCATAATAGATGTGTAGTCATAATGGATTCTAAATACTTTTTCCTTCATTGGGCAGACACAAGGAGGGTTTGATGGAATGGGATGGTAGTGCAAACCTGTTTTATCCCAGGCCATCGTAGTTTTCTGCCAGGCAACTAAGAATCTTAAGGTTCTTTTCTTTTCTTTTTTTTTATTTTAAAAAAAAGACAGAGCTTCGCTTTGTTGCCCAGGTTGGAGTGCAGTGGTGGGATCTCAGTTCACTGCAACCTCTGACTCCCGGGTTCGACCAATTCTGTCCCCAGCCTCCTAAGTAGCTGGGATTACAGGCGTGTGCCACCATGCATGGCTAGTTTTTGTATTTTTGGTAGAAATGGTATTTTACCATGTTGGTCAGGCTGGTCTCAAATTCCTGACCTCATGATCCACCCAACTCAGTCTCCCAAAGTGCTGGGATTACAGGTGTGAGCCACCAAGCCTGGCCTAAAGTTCTTGTATCTTAGAATGGCGTTATAGGGTACTAGGTTCTTCAAAGAGAGAATAAGCAGTGATAGCTGGTTTCTTTATGAAGTTCCATGAGAAATGGATTGGGAGAATGTGAGGTATAGATTAGATTCCATATGATCACTATTTTATCAAATCCATTTTCTGTTGTAGATTCAGCTGAACAATAACAATCATTGGTGTGTCTTAAAATGTAGAACTCATAACCTAGGAAATGTCTTTAGGTTCTTACTGTGTACTGGGAACATTTTCAGTCATATCTTCAATATTCAAAAAAAAATTCCGTAGATACTTAGAGTCAAATGAGAGTCTTGTTAGGTCTTCATGCATGACTGTAGAAAGGAGGCTACTGTTCTTTAGTCCTTCCTCAGCTGTACATGAGGTATTTGGGGGAGAATTGTGGAATGTTGCTGTGGCAAAAGGTAGGTGAAATAAAGCATATCTTACATCTTAATAATTGTTTAATAGCTTGCAATTCCATAGTAAATATTTAATAATATCTATGAAATGACAAATATAGGTAATTTTAGGGATAAATTTGGTTTCAGTAATAAGTTTTTAAATCTTAATATACGGATGTCCTAAGTTTTGTAGTTAATTTTTTTTTAACCCTCTCTTCTCTTTAATGATTATAGCTTGTGTACTGCTTATGGGAACTTTGCATCCAAATTTTTTCTCTTTTCTACCCCCCCCGCCTTTTTTTTTTTTTTTTTTTTACTACAGGCAATTTTTCAGGAACTCCAGGCAGTGTAAAATCATCTTCTGGAAGTTCAGTGCAGTCTCCTCAGGATTTCCTGAGCTTTACAGACTCAGATCTGCGTAATGACAGTTACACTCACTCCCAACAGTCATCTGCAACCAAAGATGTACATAAAGGAGAGTCTGGTAGCCAGGAAGGGGGGGTCAATAGTTTTGGTTCCTTAATTGGCCTCCCTTCAACCTCAGCTATTATTTCACAGCCTAAAAGCTTTGAAAATTCACCTGGAGATTTGGGTAATTCCAGCCTTCCTACAGCAGGATATAAGCGGGCTCAAAGTTCTGGCATCGAAGAAGAAACTGTAAAAGAAAAGAAAAGGAAAGGAAATAAACAAAGTAAACATGGGCCTGGTAGACCCAAAGGAAACAAAAATCAAGAGAATGTTTCTCATCTCTCAGTTTCTTCTGCTTCACCAACATCATCTGTAGCATCAGCTGCAGGAAGCATAACAAGCTCTAGTCTGCAGAAATCTCCTACATTGCTCAGGAATGGAAGTTTACAGAGTCTCAGTGTTGGCTCCTCTCCAGTTGGTTCAGGTAGGGACTTGCCTATTATTTTTCTTGTTCACTTCTAGCACCTCTCTTCTTCTGTCTCAAAACATTTTCAACTATTGTTACAATAATATTTGGAATTACTAAACGACATTTAATTAAAGTGAAATTTCTCAGTTTTTAAATTTCCTAATGGAAAATACAAAAATATCTTAAAACCTTAGATGGTTTGGTTTTTGGGAAAGATGTTTGGCACTAATTTTATTTTACTTAATTAAATGTAGGCGTTTGGTCATTCATTACTTATAAAACACTTAGAAATTATTTTCTTTTTTTGTTTCACCTGCACAGTATTTTTAAAACACCAACACAGAATTTACATTTAGGATGTTTTTTGTTTTATTTTGAGCTTCCTTTCTGTAAACTTCAGTGTTAGTCTTCATTTTTCTAAATGATTCCAACAGAGTCTCACTGTCGCCCACAATGGAGTACAGCGACGTGATCTTGGCTCATTGCAACCTTTGCCGTCCACGTTCAAATGATTCTCCTGCCTCAGCCTCCTGAGTAGTTGGGATTACAGGCGCCCATCACTGCGCCCAGCTAATTTTTGTATTTTTTAGTATAGATGGGGTTTCACCTTATTGGCCAGGCTGGTCTTGAACTCCTGATCTCATGATGCACCTGCCTTAGCCTCCCAAAGTGCTGTGTGTATCAGCGTGAGCCACCTCACCCAGCCAATTCCTCACACAGATATTACTTGAGTTACTCTATCCTGGGACATTTTCATATTAATGATAAATGATTTAAATTTATAGAATGTAGTAATCACATTTTATTTCAGGAGATGCCTGAAATGATTTAATTTTGTTTTCAAGTATACTTCATGGTTTCACGATTATTTTTATTATAAGACAAGTGAGTTGATACAAATTGTTATTCACACCATTGGGATGCTCTGTAACCTGCAATTTGTATTATGAATATTATTTTCAATTTTTAAAAATATCTTCAAAATGCATATTTTTAGACAGACCATTAAGTTGATATTAACTTAAATGTCAGCATTTATCTTTTTTTTTTTCTTTTTCTTTTTTTTTTTTTGAGACAGAGTTTCACTCGTTACCCAGGCTGGAGTGGTACAATGGTGCGATCTCGGCTCACTGCAACCTCCGCCTCCTGGGTTCAAGCAGTTCTCCTGCCTCAGCCTCCCGAGTAGCTGGGACTATAGGCACATGCCACCATGCCCAGCTGATTTTTGTATTTTTAGTAGAGACGGGGTTTCACCATGTTAACCAGGATGGTCTCGACCTCTTGACCTCATAATCCACCCGCCTCGGCCTCCCAAAGCAGCACTTATCTTTTAAATTGCATCTTGAATTTAAGATAAATGGTTTTCAATAAATGTTGAAACCTTTCTTTTAGTTTTAGATTTCTGATTGTTGAAATAACATGAATTTAGCTAAGATAAATTATTATGGGTTGTATTTGTTCTATTAGTTGGTGGCAAATGTAGGTAGGAAATGGTATGGAAAAATGATACAATTTAATGGAGAACATTCATACATGTTTTATAAATAAAAAATTTTAGGTTGTTTTTATGGTTGTGAATATACAGTACTAACATCAGTAAACATAAAATAGACCATTCCAAGAGAGAAAAGAGCATAGGTAACGGTCAGATATGAGAAATAGTAACTATAACTGTCCTTTGTTATGTGCCAGGTTCTGTTAATCTTTTATTATCTCATTTAACAACAGTTATAAAATGTCCCCATTTTACAACTGGTAAAACTGAGGCTTTGAAAGGTAAAATAAGATGCCCAAGATCACATAGCCAGGAGTTTCTTCGTATTCAGAAATGAGTGGAATCTATAGAAGCATTAAGAGTTGTTGTAGAGCAGGATTTATCAATCTTAGCGTTATTGACAGTTTGGATGGGACAAGTCTTTGTGTAGTGTTACCCTGTGTATTCCAGGATATTTACCACAATCCCCAGTTCCTTCCCCCTAGAGGCCAAGAGCATCATCACACTTCCTCTTCCCATAGTAGGAATAAAAAATGTTTCCAGACATTATTTAATATGTTAAATGTGTCCAGGGGACCAAAACAACTTCTAGTTGAGGATCACTATTTTAGAGGTGAATAATATATATAAATTGCAGTGAGAAAGAAGTTCATAGAAAGGTTTAAATATATTGCATATTTGAACGTATGCTTTTATTTACATGTTTCCTTTGAGACTAGAATGGCTTAGCAGTAAGCCCCCTTGTCACAAAAAGTACATTTAGACCAATTTAATCAGAAAAAAATTGAATTTCTTTTCACTTTTAGCAAGAGGTGTAGTAATCACATGAGTACCTTACTGAGAAAATAAAGCCTAAATTTGCTTTTGTGGAGAAACTTCTTTACTGATTTTCTATAGTTTGAAGCATTGTCTGGGACTTTCTAAATTTCAGAAATTATATTTGAATGCTTATTTAAACACATCTTCAAATTAATAAGATATTGATTTACATCCCTGGAAATATTTTCCTATCTGTTATGGATTTGGGGAGATGTTAGGCGTGAGGAATAGTAAATGCTTAGCATTTACTATGTTCAAAGCACTGTTCTGGAAGTGGGGATACAGTCGTGAATGTCACAAACACCCCTACCCTCAGGAGTTAGTATTACAGTGAATGTTATAGTTTAACCAACAGGTGCTTGCAAAGGTCATCTTCATTATTACCCCGTCATTCAAGAAAGTCAATCTTATAAAAAGAGCATTGTGAAAAATAACTTGAGATAATGTAATACATAATACAGTTGTTTTCTGTATCTGTGGGATTCCACATCTGGGGATTCAACCAACCTTGTATAGAAAATATTTTAAAGTGTTAGTTCACAAAAATAAATGACCTAAGAAATTTATCTGCCAAGAATTTTTTTAAAAGTTGTGTTTAAAAATTACTCTGGGGCCAGGCGTGGTGACTCATACCTGTAATCCCAGTACTTTGGGAGGCCGAGGCGGGCGGATCACCTGAGGTTGGGAGTTTGAGATCAGTCTGGCCAACATGGTGAAGAACCATCTCTACTACAAGTGGTGGGTGCCTGTAATCCCAGCTACTCGGGAGGCTGAGGGAGGAGAATCGATTGAACCTGAGAAGCAGAGGTTGCTGTGAGCCGAGATCACACCACTGCACTTCAACTTGGGAGACAGAGCGAGACTGTCTCAAAGAAAAAAAAATTACCCTGAAGATTTTATATGTCTTTTAAAGCTATAATTATGGAATAAGATTATTGAAAACTATTTGAGATATATTCTTTAGTTTTATGTTAATAAATATTTTAGGACATAGTGCAGAACATTTTCTTTTCTCTCTCTCTTTTTTTTCTTTTCTTGAGACCGAGTCTTGCTCTGTCACCAGGCTAGAGAGCCTAACTAGAAGAAGCTTGGCTTTATGCCATGAATATTTAGGAATTACATTGCTTTAATCGTGACAAGAATTGCTAACTGCTGATGAACACTGAGTATGTGCCACATACCGTGTTAAGCTCTTAAGAAGTATTAAGTATTATTATATAGGACAAGAAACTGAGACAGAATTCTCATAGGTTTTAAGTGATGGAGATATGCATTTTCCCGGGGTCCAGGGCTGCTTAATTACACAGTTCAACAAGTGTTTGCTTATGAGGGTCTAATATCACACTAGTGTCAGTCATACTTTAAGCAAAGAGATCCCTGAAAAAATCTGAACCTATAATTTAACTTTCAGCAATAATATTTCCTATTGGTATAAAAAGTTAATTTTTCCTTTGGACTAATTTGAAATTGAAATTGAGAAATAATTTAGTAATTGTGGAAACAAGAAGCTTTCCCCCATATAATAAATAAGTAGAAAGGAGAAAATGTATACAGTCATCCCTTGGCATCAATGGGGAATTGGTTTCAGGACCTCCTGCAAATATAAATACCAAAGTCCAAGATGCTCAAGTTCCTGTTATAAAATGTCATAGCATTTCACATAACCTGTGCACATCTTCTGATGTGCTTAAATCATTCATTTCTAGATTACTTATTATACCTAATATTATGTAGGTGCTATGTAAATAGTTATTATGCTTAGGGAATCATAACACGAGAAAAAGTCTGTACACATTCAGTACAGACTCAGTCTTTTTCCTCCAAATGTTTTCTTTTTTTTTTCTTCGAGATAGAGTCTCACTTTGTGCAATGGTGTGATCTCAGCTCACTGCAATCTCCACCTCCTGGGTTCAAGCGATTCTCCTGCCTCAGCCTCCCGAGTAGCTGGGATTACAGGCATGCACCACCACACACAGCTAATTTTTGCATTTGTAGTAGACAGAGGGTTTCACTGTGTTGGCCAGGATGGTTTCGATATCTTGACCTCGTGATCTGCCTGCCTGGGCCTCCCAAAGTGCTGGGATTTACAGGCATTAGCCACTGTGCCCCTCCTCCTCCAAATATTTTCTATACAAGGTTGGTTGAATCCCCAGATGTGGAATCCCACAGATACAGAAAACAACTGTATTATATATTACATGATCTCAAGTTATTTTTCACAATGTTCTTTTTATAAGATTGACTTTCTTTCTTTTTCTTTTTTAATAGACAGGGTTTCACCATGTTGGCCTGGCTGATCTTGAACTCCTGACCTCAGGTGATCCACCCACCTCAGCCTCCCAAAGTGCTGGGATTACAGGCGTGAGCTACCATGCCTGGTTTAAGATTGACTTTCTTGAATGATGGGTTAATAATTTAGTAATGATGAACATGACCTTTGTAAGCACCTGTTGGTTAAACTGTAACATTCACTGTAATTCAAACTCCTGAGGCTGTTTCTGACATTCACCACTGTATCCCCACTTCCAGCACAATACTTTGAACATAGTTAAATGTTAAGCATCTTTTTAAAAAATGAATGAATACCATTAGTATTCTCATGAGTGTATGTCATGTGGTTAGTAGTATCCTGTATGATTTTGTACATCCTATTGTTTATAGATAAGTTGTAAGACAAATTATTTGTAAAGCTTTTAATGTG